GGAAACTGAGATTTGGCTATTAACTTCCTAGCACACAATCTTTCATAAGATGGATGCAAGCCAACCCCACTTCTCATTCTGAGAATACCAGGGAAAGTTCTCTTCTGGATTCAAATCATGCAACAAAGGCAGCTAAAAGTACATGGGGAATGGTTTCCCTGGGCACAGAAGCAGTTCTGCACAGGAGGTAGTGGTACTGTGGGCTGCAAGCAGAGATAGTTGGGGGATGCAGTATATTTTATCACTTTTTAAAGGCAACAGTTAGGTGGAAGGATCCCAACAGGCCAAAGCAGCTAGAGGCATGAAAGGAATTGCTTTGCATGGTGCTAAAATTGGATGCTACCATCAGTCCCCTAGAGCCCTGTTAAGTCCTGCCCATGCCAGAAGACATAACATGGAGAAAATAGCAGAAGTCTGGATCCCCTAGTGTTAGCATCACAGTTTTGCTTCACCTACTTCCAGGAATAGGAAAGGTTTCCTTGCCTAACCAGTGAGATCTCAGCCTAACCAGGGTACAACAGGCTCCTGAGGGCCTGATTCTCCACTACCTCAAGATTCATTCAACAGGCTGTTTAAACCTATGCCACAAGTTGTTTAAACCACCTCAGTTCTCTCCCTTAAAATCCATTTTTCTGTTTAATCCTCCCACATTATGACTTATCAAATAACAGAATCATAGAAACTTAGGGTTAGAAGGGACCTCAGGAGGTCACCTAATCCAACCCCCTGCTCAGAGTAGTACCATCCCCAACAAGATCATCCCAGCCAAAGCTTTGTCTAGCCGGGTCTTAAAAACCTCCAAGGATAGAGCTTCCACCACCTCTCTGGGTAACCTGTTCCAGTGTTTTACTATCCTCCTAGTGTGAAATTTCCTCCTAATATTTAACCTAAACTTCCCTTGCTACGACTTGAGACCACTGTTCCTTGTTCTGTTATCTGCCACCACTGAGAACAGTCTAGCTCCATCCTGTTTTCACCCCCGCTTCAGATAATTGAAGACTGCTATTAAGTTCCCTCTCAGTCTCCTCGTCTCTTGACTAAATAAGCCCAGTTCCCTCAGCCTCTCCTTGTAAGTCATGTGCCCCAGGCCCTCACCATTTTTCTTGCCCTCTACTGGTCTCTTTCCAATTTGTCCACATCCTTTCTGTAGTGGGGAGCCCAAAACTGAACACAGTTCTCCAGATGTGGCCTCACCAGTGCTGAATAGAGGAGAATAATTACTTCCCTTGACCTACTGGCAACACAGCTACCAAAGCAGCACAGAATGCTGTTAGCCTTCTTGACAACAAGGGCACACTGCTGGCTCATATTCAGCTTATTGTCCACTGTAACCCCCAGGTCCTTTTCTGCAGAGCTGCTGCCCAGTCAGTGAAACCCCAGCCTGTACCAGTGCATGAGACTATTCTATCCTAAGTGCCGGACTTTGCACTTGTCCTTGCTGAACCTTATGAGATTCCTTTTGGCCTAATCCCCCAATTTGTCCAAGTCAGGGGTTTTCAACCGGGGTTATACATACCCCTAGGGGTACTTTGGAAGGCCCCAGGAAGTACATGGCAGTGGTGCGGAGAAGCTGTCAGCACTTCTGGTTTTGCTGTCTCACGCCACGTATAGGACCCCCCTCACCCCTCCCATCAACCAGCCGCGACCAGCCACCTGGGATATCCCAACCAATAAAGGTTGAAAACCCCTGGTCTAAGTCACTCTGAATTCTAGCCCAACCCTCCAGTGTATCTAATACTCTTCCCCAGCTTGGTATCATCTGCAAACTTGCTAAGGGTGCACTTTAAGCCATCTTCCAAATCATTGATGAAGGCATTGAACAAAACCGGAACCAGGACTGACCCCTGGGGCACTCCACTTGATACCAGCTGCCAACTAGACATTGAGCTATTGATTACTGTTGGGAGGTGCCCGATGCTCCAGCCAGTTTTCTATCTACGTTACAGTTCATTCATCCAGACCATACTTCTGCCTGCAAGAATGTTATAGGATACCATATCAAAAGCCTTGCTAAAATCAAGGTACACCACATCCACAAAGCCAGTCACCTTGTCAAAGA